AAAGGCCATATCCGGAACGCCAGTGCGTAGACCAATTCCAGCAAGTCGAGTGCAACAACGAGGTCGGCCATAAAACGCTTTGAGATGGACGGAGTTGAATGACCACATCTTAACAACAGATGTTTGAAGAGCACGTGGTCGAGGATATGCTTTTCATCGAGATCGATGCGGAACTTTTCACGTTTCTGCCAGAGTGAAAAGATAGGTCACTATGAGGAGGGCAATTGAAATGGGCAACAGTCCCTGTAGACATTGCTACATGCGCGTTCATCGCCAGCTCAATGGATGATTGGAACCGTCGACAAGATGAACTGATCAAGGCAAGCTTGAAACAGCAGTAGTAATGAGTCAGCTTTGTCTCGCTTCAACTGTAACTGCGTAGTCGGCCGGCTCAGAGTTAAGGTCAGTTGTCAGATGATATGCTAAACATCTGAGGGGGCGTGTTAAACTCCTAAGAGCCTCCTTGACCCTAGCACAGTGTTCCTCATTTTGCGCTAACTGGTGAAATAATATGTGCGTAGAGTTTCTGCAGTGATTGCAAGATCCAATCATGTTTGATGCGTGACAATTTTGATCTCATCGAAGCCCTGGTAAAAGGAAAGTTCTTCCAGCAAGCGCCGTGAGCACGCAGCTACGCGGACCGCAGCTTTGCCAAAGGCTGCTCGCCTTTACGGGCGTTGCGCATTCTTGGAGCAAGTGCATGGGTTGTGGAAGAGAATCTGCACAAGCGCATTGCTGCGTTCGCTGGGGCGAAAATGTAGCCCTGGGAAAACTTAACCTAGTCAGTCTGCCTTCCGACTGCCGCAGATGTGTCGGCAGCCTTTCAGCCTTCCGATCCCCGTGGCATATGGGTCGGAGCCTCCCTTAATTTCAAAGCCGCGCATAAGCAAGTTAAGGTCCTTCTAGCTGGGCAATTCCTGTTGTTCTTTGCTTTTAGGGGTCGCTTTTATGGCTTTAAAGTCTGCCATTTTGGGGGCACGATTTAGTGCCTATTGGAGGCAAAGAGTGGGAGCCCTAATTCTCCGCCTGCCGCCTCATGAGTCCTGGCTTTATGTTGATGACCTTGTAGCCGTGCTCTGAAGCAGATCAGGATCTAGCCCTACCAGTTGTCTTCTTGTGTGCAATCGAAGTCCCGGTCTCCTGGAAGAAAGCTCAGTTCGGCAGTGGCCTCGTCTGGAGTGGCTGGCAAGCTTAGGGAACGACTCAGGAGCCTTCTGAACGCAAAGCCGTGCACTCGCAAAGCGCTTGAAGCCTGCCTTGGGTCCACCAGCGTGTCCAAGCGCTCACGTTCCCGGACAGCGCCGTTGTATTCGGATCTGCGTTGCCCGCCTGGTACGCAGTAACTCGGTCCAAGCCAAGAGCTGGCCCGCCTTCTTGCAGTCTTTGGACGGCAACGCCAAGGTAGCCCGACAAGCCTTTGGCCTTTGGATCTCGGTAGGAGCACGCGTCATTGAAGTGGCAGGCACACCGATGCGCAGCAAGACCGATCTGTTACCCTTGCTCAAGCCGCCGACCTCACTGCCGCAACAATCGCGCTTAGATGAGAGAGTAAGGACAGCCTCGCGTGGCTCCAAGCCTGCTTCCGGACAGCCCCGATCACGCCCATATACCACCAGCCGTTGTTGCGCTGCCTGTCAGCAGATGCCTTCGGTGAAGGAACTAGCCTTGGTATAGTGGTTGGCTGACCACTAAGCACGGCCTGCTGTGGTTCTCGGAGCAGTTTACCATGCCGGAGATTAGAGCCTTCTGGCCGTTTCTAACAAAAGATGCCCAGAAGTATATTTTGTGTTGGGAAACTCTGGCCCAATTAGCACTTCTGCAGTGTGCATACGAAAGCCTAGGAGCCACGCGTCAAACCTTCCTGGTGCCTTCTGGAAGTGACAACACCTCTGCAGAAGCAGCCGTCAACAAACAGTTTGCAACGACTGTCTGTATGCACTTGGTCGCATCCCAAAGGCATTCACACGCCATCAGCCTTCAAGTCAGTCACATAGCGGGCCCAAAAAACACTTGGGCAGATGAATTTGGCCGTGATGACCTTGCTAGGTTTCAGCATCGCCCTGATTGCCGCATTAGAGTGCCTCTCAGCCAACCAGCCTTCGCTGGAAGCCTTATCCAGTTGCACCCTCCTCACGCGAGATGGAGCCAGCCTTTTCGGACAGCCAACTCTCACCAGAGCACCGCGGTAAAAGGGCCGTCCGCCGCACTGTTTGCAATGCACTTCAGCACTTGCATTAGTTGTCTAGTGCGTTAAACATGAAGACGCTTACTAAGGCGCAACCCTGCCCGCGGTGAGGGGATTTGAGGTTCGAAGCACTTCCGGGGTTGCTCGAGCACTAAAGAGGGGGTTGGTTGCAGCCCTCTGTATCGCCTTGTGGGGGGCTGCAACTTGCCAGCAGCACCTCGCGCAACCCAAAGAAAAAGTGCGTGTGTTGCGAGCCTTGCGAGTGTTAGCCTTTTTACCTTTTAGTTTCAGGGAGTTGGCAGAGTAGCTAGGAGCAGTGCCCTTAGCTTTAAACCAAGGTCAGCGGCTGGTTTTCCAAAGTCGGTGACAGATTTTCCCAAAGTCGGTGCCTGGTTTTCCCACCGAACCAGTCATGTTTTCCATCTGCAGCGCTGCGTTCAAAACCAACTGAAAGCTGCGAAAGCTGTTCTTGCGTGAGGAAAGACGTCCTGTGTGTTTTCGGGGGGACCCAAGTGTTTGTTTTGTTCTGCACTTTTTTGGCTCATCGACGTTTTCCCAAAGGTTTCCACCTGTGTTTTCTGTTGTTGCTCCAATTTGGGATACACACACACAGGCGCACTCCGCATCCGAATGGAACAACAGAATTTGGAAGAGAGCAGCAAAATTGGACTGAAATAATATTCACACACCTGAAAACATGTGCTGTTTGGTTTCATTTCCCAGGATTTCGTTTCCAAATGGACTTTGTTTCCAAGCCTTTTGGATGTCATCTCCAAAGCCGGTAAGACCACCTTCTCGCGCGCGAAACAGTTCCTTATTTCCTTGTTTTCCGTGACTTTCGCGCGTGCGCGATTTTACTTGAATTTTGGTGCCTTGGTTTTCTGGGATTTCACCTTGGCATGTTTTCGGTGAGTGCGCTTTGACATGTTCACTTGGCAGTTTTGTGGCTCGAATGCGAGCATTTAAAAATTTTGTCAGCCTTGAGTCCTGCATTCTAGTGTAGAGGCCCCTAGAGGTGCTAAGGGACGCTCTCCGGAGCACTTCCGCACGCAGCTGCCGGTGCTTGGGTGGCTGCGCGTGGTAGCAGGACTGTTCATTGCCAGGGTGTGTGATCTCAGCGTGCTTGTTCGTGCATGGACCACGATTCAGGTGAGTTTGGGTCAGTTGACTCTGCTGAGCCTCTCTCTTTGTTAGAAGCATTCCTCAGGGACCGCCGCCAGCTTCAGTTTCAGCTCGACTTTCTGCGATCCCAAGTCGCCGAACTGCACCAGTCTGTTAAGGACCTTCGCAAGCTTGTGCTGTTTTTGGCTGAGTTGGCCCTGCCTAAGGGACCGTCAGAAGAGGAGCCTAATTTCTTGAACACGCTTGACTAAAACGTCCGGGGTTGCGAACTCTTTCTAAGGGGGTATGGCTAGTTCTTCAACCGGGGGCACTTCGGATATTGATCTGGATCAGCGTATGATTCTTGAAGCGCAGCTCAGCGTGCTGCCGGAAAATCTTCCAAGGTTCCCATGGGAGTCTGGTCCTTTTAGAGCTATCTTTGAGGACGAGGGGTTAGTTGCGCATCCAATCTTGAGACAGCCGATTTTGCTTGATGTGCCGGGTGAACCCTTGCCGCCGGAGAGTCCTGCAGTGCGTGTAGAGGGCAACAAGAGGAAATTTGCTTCCTTGTATGAGCATTGCAATTCTGCCAAGTCATGCAGAAGGGATGACGACGATGATGGCAAGCTGTGGGATGTGGCGTTGGCTAAGTGGGTTGCTGTCTTTGCGCTTATTAACCACGAGGGATCAGTGGGAGAGCAGCTTCAGCAGTCTTTTTGGGATGATCAGGGCCCCCCTAAGGAGGAGATCATTAGGGACGTCGAAGGTCCTAGAGCGCCGAGAACTGCCATTAAGCGTGCAAATAGCATCCTTAAGTGTCTTAGGTGGCATCTTGATCATTACGAGAAAGCGTGGCCGTGGTGCATACAATCTGTGTCAGCCTTTGCAGATTCGCTGAAGGGTTCCAAGGGTGAGGGTAGTGCTGTGCAGTCTCTCTTTGAAGCAATAAGGTTCACATACCATGTCATGGGTGTTCCTTTCCCGCAGCAAGTCCTCTCGGACAAACGTTTGCAGGGGCGTGCAAAGCGTCTTGCATTTGAAGGCCCCGACCTGAGGCAGGCAGATCCACTTTCAGCTGGGCAAGTGTGCAAGCTTGAGCGCATGGCGGTGTCATCCGACACGTGCTGTGTTGACAGGTATCTTGTAGGCGGCCTCTTGTTTGCCTTGTACTCCAGGTCACGTTGGTCAGACCTGAGGTACATCCAGAGCATTTGTGTCGATAGGGCGCCAGATGGGTCAGGTTTCGTGGAGGCCAGGACCCGCGTGCATAAGACACGGCATTCTAAGAAGGCAAGCAAGGTGCGATGCCTTTGGTTGCGCCCATCATAGGTCTCCATGATTCCACTTGGGTTGAAAGGTGGTGGCAGGCTGGCATTGAACTTGGGGTTGATTGGCAGAAGGATCCACTGGGCCCGCTTGTTAGGGCGCCGGACCGCGGAGGCATGCTCATGGGCAGGCGGTGCAGTTCTGTTGAGACATCGTCCATCTTGAGGAGTGAGTGCACTTGACCCGGACCAACGTTCCAATGTGTCTATGCGTTCTCTCAAGGCAACGACTCTTGTGCGGTGCGGCCGCAGGGGCTTTTCGGAGAGGGACTCACTGCTCCTAGGTCACCACTCGACAGGTCAAAGGTCACATGCTGTGTACGCAAGGGACCCAAGCCGCAGTCTCATTCAGGAGTCAGGCGATTTTGTTGCACCCTCCGCCGGGGAGCATGCTGCCCTTCCGCCTCCTTTGCCTCATCAGCTTGAAGCGCCGGAAGTAGATAGACCCTGAGGAATCTGCCCCCTCACGCCTTAATGCTCACTCCAGTGCAGGATCTTTTGAATGCGTCGCCGAGTCAGGGGCGGATGAATGCCTGACCCCAGAGCGTGAGCGTGCATGGGACTCCCGTTCACCGAGTGTCTGCGAGGGTGCAGGTGTAGGCTCAGAGTCAAGGTCCAGTGAATCTTCGACATCGTCATCATCGAGTGCCTCTGAAGCGGAGGCTGAAGAGCAGGTGTTAGGTAGGGCTGGCGTAGCTCAGTTTTATGAAGTGGAGGGCCCGCTGCGGCAGCATGTGACCGCGAAGATGCTTCACAGTGCTGCTGGGTCCGAGCAGGAGGCCAAGACCAAGTGTGGTCGAAGGACGGGGAGTGCCTACGTCCGGCTGCCGGGTGCGGTGGCGAGATGGCCGAGATGCTCCTTTTGTTTCAAAGGAGAAGTGATCGCCAACAAGAGTGATCTCGCGCGGGCGATTGATGCCTTGAGGGAGTGATGTTGTGGAGTGCCGGAAATGCTTGTACATGTGACGGTGCACCGCTTGTGCTCAGAGTGCTGCAGCTTCAGTTTCATGTGTAAGACGTGACGCATTTATGTGCGGGTGTTTTCACATGTCCTAATCCTGTGCGTCAGGTTGTTCATTTGCAGCGGAGTGCTCAGGCTACATCGATACTGTCATCCACTGCAGCGCTGGAGGCGCAATGCGACAAGGTTGGCTTGTCTACGGAGTGGGTAACATCATTTAAGACCGCTAGTGTGGACTCGCTTTTGAAGCTGAGTTATTCGGTGACCTTGCCTGGGACAGCAGCCACGGATAGGGACATTGAGGACTTTGCAGCCAAGCTTCGACCGGGCGTAGGCTTGTCGCTTGGAGACTCTGCTGCCCTTAAGCGCCTAGTTTTTGAGGCTCAGACGGACCATTGCTGATCTGCGGTCATCGGTCCAGCCAGGTGAGGAAGCGCAGAAGCGGTTGCCAGCAGCAGAGCGCAATATGAGGATCGAAAGCCAAAGGAAACGCTTGGTCGGGTTGCCTTTACTCAAGGGTGGCTGGCAAGTCACGTACTGCTTGTATGACAAGTTTGCGCGTATGATGGAGACTGAGGAGCTTCGCTTTGTTGCCCCAGGCGAGTGTATCACGAGGGATGCCGAGTTAGCCGCCCAAGGCGCTCACTTTGGATGCCAATAAGACGGGGCTGGTGCTCCGGGACGAAGAATCGTTGGCCCAGTTGGCCCTCACTTCTGATCACGAGCTTTATCAGGCTATGGTCCGAAGGGCACTAGCAATGGATGTAGTAGGCCTTGCAACTTTCTCGACCTCCCAGGCTTGGATCGAGAGGATGTTCGAAACATTGAACCAGGAGGCGCCTCCAGGCTTCAATAAGGTCAGCAGGGCTCAGCTTCTGAGGGCTGACAGGCAGTGCTTCGTGGAGTTAGCCCGGTCGTGCAACGGCAAATTGAAAAAGCAGAGTGGAAGCAAGCTGCCCTGTGATGAGGAAATCTCGCGTCTTCACTTGATGCCCGAGATCATGATGTTGCTTTTGCCAACTATGGTGAGCGCAAAGGGTAAGGGCAAGGGCAACAAAGGAAAAGGTCAAAAACGCAAGTCAGAAGAGGAAGGCGAGGGCAACCCCAGCAAGAAGCCCAAACTTGCCAGGGATCCGATCCCGGCGGTGTTGAAGGGCATGCACTCGCGCGCGCCGAATAACAAAGCAATCTGCTTCAGCGACAGACAACTTAGGCAAGTGCGCCCGTGGCAACAAGTGCCGCTTTGCGCGTGTGTGCTGCAACCCTGGCTGTTACAAGCCCCATCCAATGAGTGAGCACAGTGACAGCAGCGCCGAGTGACTAGGCACGGGGGATGTTGTTGCTGATGTTGATCCTGATTGCCAGTACGCTGCCAGCGCGGCAGCTAGGTTTTGTGTTGAGGTGTGCGCTTTGTCAGGTGCGCTGAGGCGGTTCTTGCCGAGCTCATTTGGAGTGGGCTTGGGGGTGTCCCCTTTTGTAGCTGCGCCAGTTGTTCGAGTTGATCCTTTATCTGATCGGGGCATCGCTTTGGTTGCCAGTTGGGTTTCCGAGCCTGAATGCGCGTGGGTGCACATTCGCTGCCCAAGATCAGTTTTTCCTGTTTCGCACTCAGATCATCTTTTGCCGCAGGGGCAAGGTGAGCAGTCTTTTGTTAAGTCCGTGACTAAGCTCATGGATGCGTGCACCAAGCATAACATTCCTTGGTCTTTTGAGGCACCTGCCAGGTCTTCCGTCTGGGAGCATGCCCCCTTTTGCAGTCTTAAGCGCAGTACGACACAGGCTAACATGTGCCAGTTTGGTCATGTGTTCAGGTCGCCTATTCTTGTCGCATCCTCTAGGCGTGGGGTGTTCGCCCGCCTTGACAAAAAGTGTGATCATGCACATCCGAGCACCTTTCAAAAGGTGGGTGCAGTACCCTTTGAGCGGCGGCGCTGTGAAGCCTTTGCGCAATGCATCGCAGATGCTTTAGGCGTCCCTGAGTTTGTTCCCAAAACCCCAGCCAAACAGGCGGCGCAGGTGCTAACAGGATTGCAACCACGTAAGCTTCCCTTCCGTGTTCTGCCCGAGTTCAAATGCATAATGAAGGTTGCTAGCCATGTCTTGCCGCCTTTGGATGCCAAGCAGTGCACTAAGGCGGATTGGTGTGCTCAAGGCATATGCGTGCCTCAGGGCTCTAAGCTTCTGCGCCCTTCCTTCTCTGACCATGGGGAAGGGATGGAGAAGGCAGGCTTGCACGCTCCTCATGCAGACGATGTTTTGGCATCCCCTGTCCCAAACCTGGACCTTAAGAAGGCAACGGTCATGAGTTGAACGACCAGCCGAACCCCACCTGAACCCCCTAAGCCCAAAAGGATTAGGGTCATGAGTCCAAAGACCGATCCACCCCGTAGCACTAGTGATCCCGTGCCCAAAAGGATCAAGGTCATGAGTTCAAGGACCGATCAGGCAAATCTGTCTACCATTCGGGGGCAAGGCGTCAGTGAATGGCTCTATCAGATGCGGCAGATGTCTGCAATGGCTTGCGAATGTCTGTTTGTGGATTGCTGCAAGTTCTTACTATGACGACTACATTGTCTCGAGCGACTCCATGTTGGAGTCCAACACGAGTGAATCCATGCACCTTCTTTTCACTTTGCTTGGTTGGCAACACGATCAGAAAGGTGCCAAGGCAGATGTTTTTTCAGGATCGGTTTCTGCACTTGGTGTTGTGTTTGATTTGAGCAGGTCGAGCGAGGGTACTATTCTGGTTGACAACACTTGCAAGCGACGATCTGACTTGGACAGCATGATCACCAGTGTGCTTGATGCCGGGAAGCTAGACATGTCCGAGGAGTTAACTTTTGAGGGGCCGGCTTGCGTTCGCAGACACTCAAGTGATGGGCAGGGCGGGGCGCTTTGCCTTGAAGGTTTTGTCGAATCACTTGCACGCAGTTCCTTTTCGCAAGGCTCTCGATCTAAGCACCGCCTGTGCTCTCAAGTTTCTCAAAGCGCGTCTTCGCCAGGGCCTGCCGAGGCTCGTACCGAAACCGCTGGACAAGTGTTTCCTTGTTTTCTCTGACGCGTCTTTCCATGATGATAATTCCGGAGGTGTAGGGGGTGTGCTCATCTCCCCGCACGGGAGTGTCATTTCTTGGTTTGGTTTAGGTTTGAAGCCTGAGGACACTGGGTCCGAGGGGCAAGACCTGTATCGGTGACTTGGAATCCATTGCAGTTCCCATGGCGTATGACGTTTGGGCTGATCGCTTGCGGAAGACGGAGTCTGTGAGCTACATCGACAACGAAGGAGCGCGCTTCTCCCTCATTAAGGGGTATTGTGACTCGATTGCAATTACCAGGGTTGGCCACCATGCGGCAGAGCTGTTTGAGCGTGGCAACATGTTGGTGTGGCACGCCCGTGTGCCCTCGGCATCCAACATTGCCGACAAGCCTTCACGCCTGATTCCCTCAAACCTCTTACCGAGTACTTTTCAGTGTAGCGTGCAGTGAACCTCAGCAGCCTGGGCACACGTGACTTCTGCAGTGGGGATGGGTTAGCCGCTCGTGCCGTGTGCGGCATATGTGGTTGCGGGGAGGTGCCCCTTTTTGTGGAATGCATGCATGCACATTTGCACTGACTGACCCCCATGCCCCATTGCGTGAAAAAAGTGTAGTCCGTGTGTCTGTCTTGCTGTGAGTACGCTGGCAATAATATAATATTTGATGGAACCGCTTTATATTGTGCGGTATCTTTGTATGCAGTTTGAGTTTGGGGCAATCTTTTTACGCTCGAACTTTTTATGCTCGAACTTTTTCCCGGAGTGCCTTCCCGAAAACTTTGGAAATAAAACCACCTTCTCGCGCGCGAAACAGTTCCTTATTTCCTTGTTTTCCGTGACTTCCGCGTGTGCGCGATTGTACTTGAATTTTGGTGCCTGGTTTTCTGGGATTTCACCTTGGCATGTTTTCGGTGAGTGCACTTTGCCATGTTCACTTGGCAGTTTTGTGGCTTGAATGCGAGCATTTAAAAATTTTGTCCCACCCGCCCGCCCGGGGATGGCTTAGCCGCTCGTGCCGTGTGCGGCATATGTGGTTGCGGGGAGGTGCCCCCTTTTTGTGGAATGCATGCATGCGCATTTGCACTGACTGACTGACTCCCGTGCCCCATTGCGTGAAAAAGTGTAGTCCGTGTGTCTTGCTGTGAGTACGCTGGCAATAATATAATATTTGATGGAACCGCTTTATATTGCGCGGTATCTTTGTATGCAGTTTGAGTTTGAGGCAATCTTTTTACGCTCGAACTTTTTATG